TGCTTACCTACATATATTACCTATCAATCCTATACCTACATATTATAGATACTAAAAAAATAAAAAAAATTAAGAATACATAGTTTGAAAGGAAATAAAAGTTAGAGGAAAAACGTATAAAATATTATTCTAATTATTTTAAATTATATAAAATAAAATAATTGGATCTGGGTATCTATAGACATATCGATGATACGATTTTATGTTATTCCAAGAACTATAATGTTTAATATCAATAGAAAATATGGAATAAATATAAGTCTTCATTTCCTGAAAATGGAATCTGATATTTTCATTTAAATAAAAAAAAGAAAACGTTTATAGTTCGTGTTATTTTTTTTTCTTTTAGCAAAACATAATGATTTAATTTTAAACATTTTTTAAGTGAGCTTAACAATTAAACGTTAACTAAAGTACCAATATCCAGTATATACAATAATCAAATATAAATTTCAAATTAATAGCGATTGCTCGTTTCAGTTGCGAAAGTTCAAACTGTTCACACTAGTAGTAGTAACGCATCATCTTTATATATATAATTCTTCTGTGAGTGTGTATGTCACTGAACTTCTCTCAAACGACTGCACCGATTTTGATGAAATTTTTTGAGTGCGTTCAAGGGGATCTGGGAATGGTTTAGATTCACAATTTTGTCCGCTGGACAATGTTTATTTAATTAATTTTTAATTTATTAAAAGTTGTTGATACAAACGTTTTTTTGAAATTAGATTTGACAACTAACTAATATGTCAATCATTCTGTCGTATTTCAAAACACGGAGATTTATGGCTTTAATAGGTAAACTCCAAAAATATAAGTAAAAAAAAGGAACAGATATTTCTTGATTATTGGGCGATACGAAGTTCGCCGGGTCTTCTTGTGTTATTATATTTTCATAGCAGTATTATTTTCTCATGTTAAACATAGGTAAAAAGTTCTTTGATTAAAACTGAAATTATATGAATAGGCAATAAATTAGAGGAGCGATCAATTTAAAGATAAATGTGTCAAACTGAAAAGCCCACCTAGTTATAATAAACTAATACCCAATGTTATATTGGATCCAATAGAAACGAGGTCAACATGTCAGCACTCGATTGTGTAAGAATACTGGATCGCAATCTTTAACTAACTGTATTGATCCCAATTATGCTCTCCATATTATGTAAAATCTTCGAAATGCACAAAATAGATAAATTTTATATAGAAATATTTTCTAAAAAGTGTTATTGTCTATTTGTAATATGTCCGCGTTGAATTACACTATCTTAGTAGACGCGGTTTCAATGAGTCGTTAAACTTTTATCGGTTTTATAAAATGTCGATACACGATATACATACCGACTACTGTATATTTTTTATTATTCTTTGAGGAAAATAACTTAATTAACTCTTACTTGAAGATATCTAAAAATATCTATCCGTATATAGATTAATAAAGTACTTTGTTAGAAGAATAATGAATAGAAATCGTGAGTGGTTTGTTGTTTTTATTGTCATTGTTAGATAGAAAAAACTTTATTCTAAGCTGTTGAATTTTATAAGCTTTACGAAAATTCTCAGTTACATTGTTCATTCTACAATAAAATAGAAACAGCATGTAAAATAAAGGTTAGGAGAAATAAAAATAAGGCTTGAAATACATATCTGTAAATAAGTAAAGATTTATTATAAGTTATGAACATGAAATGATGAATACTAAAACAAATATCTAAAGTGCAATACTTGAGATTTCTGTATACGACAAAATGGATGTGCTCTTTACGTCGGATGTTAATCATTTTGAAAATTAATAGCCGCTCCATACTAAATCAAAGTATTCTTAAACAGGAATCGTTTAGCTTGTAAATGTGAATTGAATAATGATTGGTAATATGGATGAACCTGAGTGAGACTGGCCCTTAAGAAGTAGCCAACTTCTAAATAATTCATTGATTTATAATTTTTAAAGTTTAATTTAATTTATTTACAATTTTTTTAATAAAAGTGGATATTGTTTCATTGCATTGGATAACTTAAAATCACTCTACATGTAAAGACAAATAAATATCTAAGCAGAAGGTTGAGTTCTTTTAAATATTTTTTTGTATAGCTATAATAATATATTTTATAGCTTTCATAAAAGTTATTTATAATATCTCTAACTAAGTTTTTCATCGTTTTTAATTTTATCTGTTAGTCATGTTTTATGATTATTTTAATATATTACATAGTATGAGCGAAACCGCTGAACTATTAAAATCTTCAAAAGTATGCAAATTACACTTGATTAGTTTATTTAAATTTTTTTCGATATTGAATTTTTACAAGCAAAATATTTGAAGTCAATTATTTATTCAGATAATAAATTTTCTGGGAATTTATCGCTGCGTAATTCCTTTGATGATCGTTTTTTCTGTTCGTTTATAACAATTCAAATGGAGTTGAATTATTTAAAATTTAGTTTTATGTATCGTTTCATCAAAGCGTTTATTTTGTAAGGAGCTATAGTCACTCATTATTTAAGTTTAACATATAAAATTTGTCAATTTATATATTTTATATTTAGAAATTTATCGTTAAGGGTCCATCTGTAGATTTTATGTGACAATATGATATTCCTTATAAAATACTTTTGTTTAATAAATGTATTTGAATATCATTTTAGTTTCAATACGTCCAAGTAAGATTGATTACGCTTCGGAAGTTCGTATCACTTTATTTTCAAGACTGGAGGGAATAAAAAGTTCCTTTCTTGATGAGCATAGCTAAGATAAACGACAACTTTTATGTTGAAAACACAGCGTTATATATTTCGTTGTTACTAATTGCTTTTTTGTGTTTTTTTGAACATTGTCGAAAACATAATTTTTATTCATTTCTCTATAGTGTCCGGAAGATATACAAGATACAATACTTATATACATATATGCTAAATCTACGTGTTTATATGTTTTGGACATACATGTAAATAATATTCACAATTCATAATTATAAAGTGATTTATATATTTAATATTTTCCTTTGCATTGAATTTCGGATTGATTTCCATTATATCTTTTTAGTTTAAATATGGTACAATGCACTCTCTGTTTCTTGGAAAAAGTTCCGACAATGGATGACCTGTCATTTGCTTTATAGCGTAGACTAGTTTTTTTCACAGCTTTGCTAGATTAAATGGTACTTCTTTTTCTCATATTTTATTATATTGTATTTCAACACCAGTTTTGATAGTTATATTTTTGTAAACAAGCTTTCAGAATTATATACATATATCATAATATTATATTACTACCAATTCAATATCTTTGTCGGCAAAATTCGAGTTATGTTCAATTTTGTGTACGTGTTTTATTTCATTCACATATTTTGATGTCTTCAAGCAATCAAAACCCTAAAGACACTTGGCATTGTTTAGGTATCCAATAATAATGTAATTTCAAGAAGCGTAACTAATAGATGAAGCCGTAAAGTTTTGCAAGTAGGAACTCATTTTACTAATTTATTCTTAATTCTCATTAAAAATGAATAAAAGTTGGACTTGATGTTAAAAATTTTCTGTACCAGCCAACGTTAAGTAAATAATATTTGCATTAAAGTGTTAGCCGGTACTAGAGAAGGGAATCATAGAAGTTAACTAAATCGAACTATTTACGAATTAAATTATGATTTAGATGTATACTATATAGCTTAGCATAAATTCAAACCTAATCTAAGTACGAATACTTAAATAAATAAAAAATTAAGTATATATGAAGGAGGTATGAATGCTTCCAACAAATAGTCTGTTACAAATCTTTTAAGTATTTTTTTAAGTAAAGTATTTCTAAATTATTCAGTACCTATATTATTTTCCAATGGTAAAATTTGTTCTTCAGTTTTTATATTATATTTAGGTTAGAAAATTGTTCTGTACTTGCTTTAATAATCATGACTCTTTTTCTAATACGTAATCGTAATTGCAAATGAGACATGAATTTTCAATTTTTTTTAATCGTACCTATGTATATATGTATATAGGTGGCTCTTAAAAAAAAAATCTTGATTGACTATTTAAGTCATAAAAGCAAATTTTTCTACACACATTACATAAATAATTGACACACATACCTCCATGCGTTTATGAGCAAATATACTGACGAGGAAATTTTACATTCTCGTGAACTTGTCGTTTCTTGCTACAGGTTGTCACATTTAAACTATAAAATAACGAATATATATTTTTGTAAAGAAGAACAAATATTTGCATTCAGTTTCTCTAATTTCCTAATCATATTTAATTATAACATTACTTTCAATTAATATATAAGCAAACGAACTCAACGGTAATGTTATAGCGTAGTATAAACATAATACAAATTGAAGCCAAACATCTCAAAATAAACTATCAATTTACCTTGCCTTCAAATCAACTCTTAAGTAAATTGATTATGTTTGCTTTCATTACTTCTCTCCATTTTATTAAACAGCCATTGTACAAATAATAAATGTTAATCTGCTCTTTGAGAGTGTTATTAAGAAGTAATGATTAAATAAAAAGAAATTTTAATTACGAAACTATATAGCTATTATTCTTTAATTAGTCAGTACTTCAAATGAAGTCTTGTAACCTAATTTGTGGACAATTTGCTACAGTTACATGTCCAAGGGATTACAGCGATAACTAATTAGGCTTTGACCTTAATATTGTTTTACGATAAGGGGGATGTCTTCTGTGGACAATATGAAGATTTAGATAATAATTTTGTAAAAGATTACACATTAAAATAATATCGTTTTCGCAATAATGGTTTTTATTTTTTAAATAAATTGTAAAGCATCTTAAAAAAGAAGCGCGTAATGAAGAACTTGACGTTATGTCTCCCTAATTCACTTTTTTTTCCGTTGCAGCAAAATAGCAATCTAACTTGGAGTGCTTTTAACTTAACAATAAAACTTGTGATTGCTTTGAGAGCGAAATTTTTAGATCAGTTATATCGGTAGATTTTTCTGGATAATTGAAAACTTTATTATGCAATGTAATGAAATCGTTTTTTTTTGTTCCAGATATCAACATCAGCATTATGTTTATCGCTGTAATACTTACTCTGATCAGATCCACCGACTGTGATATTGTTGACGGCAAAAACATTTACCAAAAAGATAGTACATTTGTACAAGAGCCGGAGTCACTGCCGGTGCTACATTTAAATGATACCAAATGCAGAATATCAGAGTATCAGTGTTTTAATAAACGTTGTATCCCGATAAACAGATTTTGTGATGGAGGCAACGACTGCGGTGACGCCTCGGATGAACCTCGTCACTGCACACGTAAGTATTCTTCTATATCAATAAACTTGTGATTTAATTCGTATTTATCGATAATATTTTAAGCTTAACAGCAAAATTTAGATTACTTTGGAAACACTGTGTTTTAAAAAACATTAAAAAACATATTTTTTCGATATATTGCTTGGAAATTTCTTGTGAATTGAATTAAACTTGTAAAATCTTTTAAAAAACATGACGTTACCTCAAATTTCGTATAAATTGAATCGCTAAGGATCGTAACTTTTACTGTAAATTATTTAACATGCGATGTAACAGTTGAACGGAAACAGCAGACTCGGCAGAGTTTATACAGTTTTATTTGAATGGATGGACAGGGAATATTCAGAATACTATAAATGATGGAACGATTCGCATGTGTTTTAATAATTGGTTTAAAATTACTTATATACTTATATTTTTATTTTATATTTTCATATAGATACTATAGCATCCAATTTCAAAGACAAAAAAAAAGAAATTATATTAGTTCCAGTCTGTTACAATACTAGGAATCAGTGCAATTAGTATCATTTCGAAGAAAATCTAGGATAATAGTTAAATTAATCAACGAATTTTTTATTAAAGTTAATTTCTTTAGTCGTTTAGAGAATAAATTGCCTCTGAAATCGTTGTACTACAGTGAATGATAAGAGAGCGGTAAATAAGCGGCTTATATTTTTAAGCTTACATGAATATGGTGTCTTCTTTCCTGCAGAAAAAACGTGATTAATGCCAGGGAGTCCTTTTTACTTAAAACTAAAAGACAATTAATATACAAATACACGATTTTAACAACAAACTGTAAAAGAAAAATGAAAAAAAATCCCGAATTGTAGGAATTTCTGTCGAAAGTGACACAAGATTTAATATAAATTTATATTCGTCAACAAAATACATCATATCTTTTTGACAATATGAACAAAAATAAAAAGAGGTAATGTATCTGATGACAAAGAAGTCTTCGAGTAAATTCTGTACTCAGAAACACTTTAGAGCTATATTTATTTAAACCAAAAATTTCATATATTCTTCCTTTACTCCATCTCCTCTCTTGATCTAAAGCGAGTAATTAAAAAATATTTTATCTCAAAGTCTTTGTACTATATCACAGGTTCATATGTATAAAATTTCAAACCTCCATCATCTAGTATAAGAGAAATAAATATGTATTTAAAAAGATCAATTTGTACTGACTAACTACTGTTTTACTGAATTACATGTTAACACAAATTGGGATTTGAACTATGTATGTCTAAACTGTAGAAGGATGTCTGATACAAGTTTGGCCTTGAGTTTGTCGGTAAACTAAAGCAAACTATGAACGGGGTTTAAAAATAAAATATCGTTGCATTTCCAATCCGGCCAGGATATTCAAGATGTCTAGAATATTAAGAGAAGAGTTATGTAGATTTAGATGACTACAATAACAAAATCATAGAAACTAATAAGAGTTTACGCTTTTGTCGACCTAAAACTCATTACTTTTTGTCATTATGTTTAGATCTAAAAATGAGGTTGCAAAATTGATCAGTACTCTAAATGTTAAAGGTTAGGCAAGTTATATGCCACGGATAAAAAAAGAAATCTAACTAAATAGTGTAAACTCAGCCAGTAGATACTGAAGACTAGATTTATAGTTTAGTGTGATCTTGACTAGTTTTCTGTAGGAAAATAAACACAAACATGAAAATATCAGAATCGAAGAAAATTAAACATCAATACTAAAATAAAACAGTCGTACACAATACGTCTAAAATGTATTCTAAGAGATATTTGTTAATTCAACAAGTCACAAGTAATTCGAAACGTTAGAAGCTAAGGTCCAAGAGCTCTTAAGTACTCGTTACCTTTGTCGGAAATTGAGTTAATTATTTAGATTATTTCTTAAAAATTATACTAACAATGCAATCTGAATTGATTCTGGCATCTCCTCTTTCTGCATAATTTATAAGCTAAAATTGCAACCTCTACTTAGTCTCAGATTTAATATTTCTACTCTTATAATTTTTCATTTTAATTTATTTGCAATCGAATTGCGCAAGAACTTGGAAAACGTAACTAGTTCTTTTCAATACCTGACCTGACCTATGTAACAACCTTTCACCGATAACTAAAATTGAGAAAATTTTGTTACTTTAAAATCTCTTTGGCTCCATTATATGTATATCTAGCATAAATATCTGCAGCCTTGTATGTTTCAATAATGTACTTTTGTATTGCATAAATTTTTAATTAAATTTTTAATAAACCTCAACCAATTTTCATCTTGAATTTTGTGCTTTACCCAAAAAAGTAACCTGGAAGTCATAGTCATCGCTCATAACCGATAAGGTCGCCTTTTCTACTTCACTATCTTCCTCTGTGACATTTCGTATTTCTTTTTGATGTGGGTCGTGTACAATAAATATAGTCTATTCTTTTCTTTTTTCTCTTTATATATTATTAATTCTATAAATAAACTAAATTGTCTTATGTTATGTATATATTAAGTACGTTATGAAATATATATATACAACATAGGCTATAGTTACATAAGTATATGATAGCGTGAAATAATATATCTATACACATATGCAATTTGTATTAAATTTAATTATCCCCACCAATGTACGCATTCTTCATTTTATTTTGTCATAAGGCAGAGAGGGTTATTAATAATATATAATGTTTGTACATTTTTGTTGTAGCACTACAATTTTCATTACAATAAAGGTTTAAAGAATTCATTTGAATACTTTAAATGAATATTTACTAGCACAGTTCAAAAAATAAATTCCTCGTGTAATTATAAATATAAATGTGTAATCTACAACTCTCATTTAAAAAGTCTCTTTCATTACGTAAGCACACATTCAAACTATGAAAAGGGTTTTGCTACACTCCAAAAGAGCTGAAATAAGAAGATGCATTGGATTAAATAAATTAGCCTTTTTGCTTACTTCTTTATAAATTACAGACCACGTCCTTTACTGCTGCTTTTATTTACAGATCTGATAGATTCAAGAAGTTGTGCCTTTTGCATTTGTCTATCGTTGAATTTTTTTTCGTTTCTTCTGAATGATATTTTTATTAAGTATTTTATACAGGAACTAAATAGTCATAAGGCAGACAGGAGTTTCCTGTTTTGGACAGGAGTCTTAATGTCATTCATGTCCCTTAAATAAATTTTTGAAATTTATTCTAAGAAAAACAAAAAAATAATAATAATTAATCTGAGGTGATCCAATCTGTTATCAAGTAACTACAGTTTATTCATGAGCTGGATTAACCGGGAAAGTACCACCCACTCACAGAATACCGACGTGAAGTAATATTAAATGGTGCCATTCGTCCCATGAATAAGAGAGCCGGTTGTCTTTTCCTCTTTACCATTCTTTCCTCTCCTGGAATGTTGATGTACTATGACCTCAGCCTTAGTCTGGGTCTGGGTATCTCTGGGACCCTACACCTACTGGTTGGATTGGGGGCACTTCCAAACCCCAGCCACACACATAAAAAATATATATAATAAAATAGACATTTGAATTGTTATAAATGTAGTTGTAGAAAATTACATTTGTACTTGGATAATAGCAATAGCCTGAATGTATTTGAATTTAAATTATAAAAACTTTTATTTCTCTTGAGACTTGAAATTTTTGATGTATATCTAAAAAAGTTAAGTTTTATTTTAATATTAAATTACCTTACTTTTAAAATATAGCGATTTTGCTGAGCACTACGTGTGTCTATTTTCAAGAAAATAAAATTTAATATTGAAGTATTTGAGTTCTCATCGATTCATTCATTTTAATATTAAAAATCTTCGAATCTCTTTTCAGTCTTTGGAATATAATAATCAAATTTCAGGGTGCGCAGACACGAAACTGAACAAATTTGATTCTCCCTCCATTTACTAAGTATGTACGATTCCACTTCTATCTTATTCCGAGTAACCATTAAGCACTATTTGTTACATTTAAAAAATCATTTTAAGTATCTCTTGAAATATGTCGAAGGATATTGAAGCATTATAGAGACGAATTTAATTTTTCAATCAAAAAATATTGAGCAGTTAAATTTTTGAGATAAGTTTACAAGTTCTTTGTTACGTTTATGAATGCTTCGACAGAGTTTTCCAAGAGTTCTTTTATATTTAAAAAGTTTTTACGTTCTGAATAGCTGCCTATTACCAAAGGATCATTCATATATCTCCGATGTTCTTAGGGTAATTCAGTTTTCTTCGTGAGAATTAATAATTGGTATTTAATATCAGCTAATATATTGAATATACATAATAAGTATATTACTACAGTACAGCTTGTACTCGTATTAATTATATTAATGACAACGGTTAAAATTAAAGATAATTAAATAAACAAAGATATGAAAAGGAAGGATTAATCTTTGAAATTTGTCTACAACTATTGTATAAATTATTCCACTAACTATTGTTACTATGTAGCTTCTTTATAAGCACCATGAAAAAATATAATCGTGGCCTATTTCTATTTTTTTGAGATACACTAAAAGGATTTGACATTGAATGAAATGTAATGAGAGTGAGGTAAAAAAAATAATATTGAATATCACGTCCATTTAATATAATTTTTAACTTTTTCGTTACTCCCGCAACTGTGTCTGAAATAGTAATATATTTTGGGCTAGTCTTTTATAACGTTCAATCATCGTTAACGTCTATTTTCTGTTCACATGTCACGTAAAACTATTCGATGATTTGAAGGATTTACCAATAATATTGGGAATTGAATTTTAGTCGATGTAATTCTATTAGCCTAAATGACGAGTTACAAATTACATCAAATTCTGAACAGTTTTTCCATCTTCCAAGCTATACAGTTTTTATAGTTATGAAAAGATGTCGTAATTTTAATAATCTTCACTGCCTCTGGCTTTACATAACAATAACACACATTGAGTAAGATTAATAGAAACTTGAAATCCTATAAGACCTCGTTTAATTGTAATCGCAATTAAAACAATACAGAGTATCCTTTGGC